TTTATTCCATTTCAATGCATGAATTCTTCTTCAACAGTATTTATAAAGAATCACCTGACTCTGCTGGGGGGTGGGGGTAAATTCCACAAAAAAAATACCAGTAGAAATCATTCAATAGGACATTGTGGAAGGAGGAATCATCAACATAAAAATCTTTATATAAAAACAGTAGAAACCTGATCAAGTAACGCTTTGACAGATATGCTTGACTTTAAAATCTAACCTACTCAGTGGTAAAGCTATTGCTATCAAATATATCTAATAGTAGACTATCAAATATTAAATAATTAATTCAATTTTATTGTTTTTATTTTTTATTTTTCTTTGAGAGGGAGTCTCGGTCTGTTGCCCAAACTGAAGTGCAGTGGCACAGTCTTGGCTCACTGCAACTTCTGCCTCTTGGATTCAAGTGATTCCCCTGCCTCAGCCTTGTGAGTAGCTGGGATTACAGGTGTGCACCACCAGGCCCAGCTAAGTTTTGTATTTTTAGTAGAGACAGGGTTTCACCATGTTGGCCAGGCTGGTCTCAATCTCCCGATCTCAAGTAATCTGCCTTCCTCAGCATCCCAAAGTGCTGGGATTACAGGCGTGAGCCACTGTGCCTGGCCCCAAATTAATTTTAAATGCTTGAAAAGGGTTTCAGTGTTTGGAAAGAATTTTACAGAAACCTAAAGCCACTCAAATTTTAAAAATTTATTTTCACAGAATTGCCCTAAATTACACAGTTCCTCAGTGTATGTACTGTTCATACAGATAACTAAATATAACTTACCTGTAAGCTCTCAGTATTGTTCAGTACCCATAGTTTGATGCTAGTCTGATTGGAGAACAGTAGCAGGAATAAAAGAATCATCTCAGTCAGGTGTCAAGAAGATAAGGCTGATTGGAGCAGCGAAGCATTTCTTTTATCATCCACCACTTAGAGCTATAGACACTCATTTTTTACCTTGTGCATGAGTGAGAGTGTGGGTTTGAGAGAAGAGAGCTCAGGTTTAATGGGTTCTCATAGTGAGCATTCACTGACTTTTACATGAGTATATGTGGTTAGGTAGAGAAATGCAGTATGAGTTATACATACTAATACTATGTTCACAGATAACGATTCTCTGGAGTATCTGGAGTACTCTAGATTTTCCCATTCCTTTTTTTTTGTTTTGAAGTGGAGTTTTGCTCTTGTCACCCAGACTGGAGTGCAATGGTGCAATCTCAGCTCACTGTAACTTCCGTCTCTCAGGTTCAAGCAATTCTCCTGCCTCAGCCTCTCAAGTAGCTGAGATTACAGGTGCCTGCCACCATATACAGCTTTTTTTTTTTTTTTTTTTTTTTAAATAGAGACAGGGTTTCGCCATGTTGACAGGCTGGTCTCAAGTTCCTGAGCTCAGGTGATCCACCCGTGTTGGCCTCCCGAAGTGCTGGGATTACAAGTGAGAGCCACTGCACCCAGCTGATTTTCCCATTCCTTCTATCATCTGAGAAAATGTCTATTGTTAAAAAAGAAATGTCAGTATTTGCCATGGTAAATTAATGTATATATTAGGTGCCTATTAATGATTCTATGATTGTTTTACATTTTAAAACAGTGATTGGGCATGTCTAAATATTATGCACTCAGATTTTGACCTTCAGATACAAGTTTTTGAAGATTACTATTTGTTGAATAACCTACTATATTTCCTTTAGAGGCTCATAATATAGGCTACAGCATTTCTGCTAATCTTGTTCGAAACTCTTCTTAGTATGAAAAAAACAAAGTGACCACTTGTAATAGTTACTCCCTTTCTATGTTGGGCTCCTGAAATGGCCTTTTCATTCTGTAATAAGCTATTTGTGTTCACTTCATTTTGTTTTGCTTCAGTCATTTTATTTTTGTCATCTTTGGTGCTATCGTAGTGTACTATGATGGAACATGCTGAATCAGAAAACTTGTAAGTTTTATTGCAAATATGTCTCAAGGCAAATTTATAAGTTGCACTTGATATCACAAACTACTAGAGAGAACATGCCTTTGTTCTAAATTACGAAATGCTCTGCTATTCTAAATGTGAAGTATGTTGAATATAAACTGCCTTTTTTGTAACACCAGGAGCTTCACATAGGCAATATATTAAGATACTCCTCTAAAAATGTATTGTGTACAAAACAACTTCGCCAGCTAAACTGTATTAAAACTTAGATTTTTCAGACTGTAAAGCTAATATTTAAGGTGAAGCTATGTCACAAAAACCTGATCATATTAAAGATATTAACATTTGGTTTCAGTTTTCTTTTCATGGAAGGATAAGAAGGAGCACTACTTTATTTAGCAGCATTTAGCCAGGGTGACTATTTGGGCAAACCATTTATATATTTAAATGAAGGCACTGGAAAAAAATCGTGCTAAACTGTGATCTCACCTCCATTAAATTAAAACCTTCTGCTGGTTATAGTTAAGTTTGATTGCTAGTACTGCCAGAGAGCCAAGGGCCCAACCTTGTACTGGTAGGGTGTCTGGTGACCTGCAATATGTGCTCTCTCCATCCATAGACTTGTAGGTTCTAGATGGTACTCTGTACAACCATCTGGTCTTCACCTTTGTATTTATAGAAACTGAACAAATGAGTATTGTTATAACTTGTGTAGATATGTTCCGTTTCTTCCTGTGTTACCACTTTTGGGTATCCTCCACTAAACAGGGATATATGTTTAAAATGTTCATGTTTATAATACAGTTTTACTGATACTACTGAAAACAGCAGTAAATTGCTCTCTGGAAACAAAATTTTCATTGTTATAATATACCAAAATAATTATAGTATGTCCTGCAAGTAAATGTCCACTCACTTTGTTATTTAGTTGCATCCTAACTATATATGGCTCATTTTATTCTTGCTTTCACCCTCAATTATTCATTTACATTATCACTTTAGTTTATCTTTTACAAATGGCAGAATTCATTTAATCATTTAGAATATTCCAGAAAATTCCAGAATTACACTTTCTCTTCAAATAGGATGATTTAAATGCATTATTTTATGCATCAGATGTGTAGAGCAAAGAGGAATTATCATAGTAGTTTCCATGGAGTAAATAATATACATCAACAAAACAAAACTCAATAAAATGCAGATTAAATTTTGCTGAAAGTTACTATTAGAAATTGGCACAAATATTCCTCTAACAAACATGGCCCATAATGTATTGTTTCCAACACAATTTTGTACATGATGGAGATTGGTGAACTGCAAGAGTATTCCCAGTGCCTTTGCCCAATGCTAGTGTTGGTTGCAAAGATCCTCAGGAAATCATTAGCAAACTCTATCTAGAAACACACCAAAAGTTCAGAGGTATACATTACATGAGATTCATGGCTCATGGTTATAGAGTTCTGTGCGCATTCTTTCTTGTTTGAAGTATGGTATAGTGTTTCAAAGCATGTTCCCATTCCCAAAAGTTAGTGAGTTGTAACTGTACCAGCATCTGATTTTAACAGTATGCCAAAGGCACAGTATTTGTTCTTAAATGTCAGTCATTAGAGTTGGGCACCTACACAAATTCAGTGAGTTCCAGTGGAATGATAACTGGTTCTTTAAGCTGGAAAATATAGAGGGACTCCAACTCAAATGGAGGGAAATCGACCACCGATTTAGAGACAGATAACCTGGGACAAGTAGATGCTATCTGTAACTCAAAAGATTGACTTAAAAATCTTGAAGCATTATTCTGAATATGTTTTCAGCTTTCCAGAAACATGAAATGTATTCTCATCCAAATAGAAAGCACTCCCCGCACCTCCACACTACACACGCGCGCACGCACACACACACACACACACACACACACACAATGCTAAAGCAAATATAGCAAAAGAAATATAGAAATAAGAACCAGCATCTTGCATTGGAAATACTGTGATCTTTGGGGCTGGACAGACGCATATTTGAATTCTAGCTCTTGCACTCACTGACCATGCCACACTGATCGAATCACTTACTCTCTCAACCTAAGTCTCCTCATCCATAAAGTAGGTCAAATAATTATTTATGTGAGGCATTTCTGTGAGGATAATATATATCAATTGTCTGATATGTATGTATTCAATAAATAACGACTATCATAACTACTAATTTTTAAGACTACATTTGACCTCAAAGCATGTTGTTTATGTAAATTCTATAATTTAAAAAAATAAGCCTTGCTACCTAAAGAAATGTAGAACTAATACTTATAACATATTGAAATTTTTTAAAAATTACTAAATTAGCATATGATTAAGACTAGCAGTCTGATTTAACTTGTCTTTGATGGAATTTCTTTCTTACACATTGTATCCTAATATTAGGAAACAACAAAACAAGAAAAGCAATTTGATGTATGTTTGCACACATATTGCCTTTTTTTTTCCTTTTAACTTTATTCCCACTTGAAAATATTCAGTACTGTCTCTTGTGTCTCTCTTCTCTCCCAATAATCAAGGTCTCTCCAGGACCTTTCCAAGCAAACAGAAATCCCTTATGGCACAGTCCTAGACTCTGCAGTATATGAGCATGTCCGCATGAAAGGACTGAATCCTTTTGAGAGGGATAGCATGTATTCCCAAATGTGGCGGATGATCAACCGAAGCAACGGATCGGAGAACAATGTTCTGGAGTCCCAAGCAGGCATTCAAAAGGTAATGTCCATGGTTGTCCATTAATAGTCCTTACCATTTTGTTTCCCATGCTGGAATTACGAAGTTGAGATTTTTTTTTTAATCTTTAATGCTGACAGAGAATTTCCTGTTAAATTACATCTTATATTGATTTAAAGAAGATTTTTTAAATGGCTGATGACACCAGAAAGGGAATTCAAAGTCCTCTGTAATGTGACTAACAGATCAGTTTCCATTTGAATTCCAAAATCAAATATACACACTGGTATTTTGTTCAGAAAAGGGTTAAGGACTTAACAAACATGAAGTCTAAAAAGATTTTTAGAAATCCAATTCCAAATATCATTCAAGTTATCTGATTCTTTTAAATGACTCAGGGTATTTTCTACACTGCACTTGTTTTTAGATTAAACCGTTATCTTTAGTTGTGCTTATGTGAAGTTATCTGGAAGTAAAAGTTAATCTTGTCAACAAATAAGGTTCCTACAGATGTCTGTTTCTATTTCCAAATGTGAAAATCTTTATTTACATCTTGCTTTTTCTATAACTATCTGTATTAAAAAGGCATAGAAAGACTTTTTTATGTGAAAATCTTAAAGCTATTTTTACTCTGAGCTGTAGTTTATAAACATATATACAGAAGCAGTTCAAACCCTATCAACCTCAATGAGATATCTGACTGTTTTTTCTTAAAATCATCTCTAGTGACTAACCTAGTGAAAATTGTTGTTGACATTTAATAAATAATTACAGAATGTAGGAATGAATATCAGTAATAGCAGCAATAGTAGTATACACTTTTTCTCTCTGACCTCCCACTGCAGAATAATTTGGACTCCAAGTCTGTGTTTCCTGTTCTAAAGGCAAACTCAATAATATCATGCTAGAGAATATTTTGATGACTATAAAAATTATTCTGTGACAGGTTTCAGCATTAGTCTCTGCTTTTTCATCTAGCACCCTTTATCTGCCACTGCTACTACTATGGTCCCTAGAGTCAGCCTAGTAATTCTTGCAGTCACCATATTGATATCATTCTTCTGAGAGCTGATAATGCTAACATAAACCTTTCTCCAAGTATTAATGATGTCTTTAAGGAAGTGAATATCCTGGAGATGTTAGCAATGGCCTCTATCCTCTTTGCCCTGATTATACCCCATTTTCTGGAACTCAGTTATTGATTCTAAAATATTTCTTGGCTTTCTCAAGCGAACCATTGGCTCCTGGAGTTTCAGCATGGTTCTCCCAGTTAATGGGGTATGAGGTTGAGGGATGGATCCAAGTGGGTAAATGAACATGTATTTTTGGGAAAGGGAGAAGGAGGGTAGACATTTTAAGGCTTACCAGGTACTCATAGCATGTTAATGAATTTGTGTTCAGAATAAGTATACTAAATGGCTTTGAAGATAAGTTACATTCCTTTATAATGTCTGTTTAAAATGAATTTTTTTGATGATTAATATGAATAGAAATTTATAGTTCATATTTCTATTCCATTTTAGGAGCCAAAGCTCCCTATGCCTTTATAACCTCATTCTATACAGTATTATTCCACAGAAATTTAATTTTATTTTCTCCCACCAGCATGGTATTGATAGACACATCAACCTGGGTTTGAATCCAGCTCATTTTTAAAATAAAATGTATAAACATAACTAGTTACTTAAAATCTCTGGGCCTTGGGAGTTGCATCATGAAGATAAGAATTCTACCTCACACAGTTTTTGTGAAGATTAAATAAGATAATAAATATAAAGCATCAATAAGTAGTATGAGTAGAGCCATAAATCTTTCTCATAAGATGGCCCTGAAGATTACCTGAGATAATGTATATGTGAGGGATTTGTAATTATAAAGCTTTATTGTTTAATATTTCCTAACCTTCATGTAAAGTTGTGATATAATAAAATAAAGATTCAATAAAAGAGGTAGAGAATAATTTCTATTCTTCGTCTGCTGATAAGGAGGGCTAATGAGTTTGAAACTGCAAATCAAGTCCTCAAGTATTTATTATATCATATTTATTCAGTTTTCTGATTTACTAGAGGGCTAGTGAAAATGCCCTTCTGAATGAATTTATAATAGAAAATATCTAAGTGAAATTTGTTTGTACTATGTATTTCTTTCAACCCAAATTAGAAACAGCTGACAATTGATTAGGCAGAGAACAGCCAATAATAATACGTATTTTGGTTCAAGTTTACAAGGTCTTGGCCAGTTTCTATTAAAAAACAAAACAACCAACAAACAAATAATAACCTTTTCACCTGATAAAGTTCATTGGAGTTTCATGAAATTGAGAACTATGACACATGAAATGCAGTTGTGTATTCTTCTTCAAGAAACGAGTCTTGAACATTTCACACAGCAGCTTTTTATTCTCTGTCATTGATTTCTAACTTATACAGGCAGATAAGACATCAGAGGTCTTTTAGGTCAACATTTCACAAAAGGCCACACTTCTTCTGTAATATCTTGAGCAAGAATCCATAAATCCATATATGTGTGTGTGTATATATGTATATATTATATGTTATATTACATATGTATATTATATAATGTATATTATATATTATGTACATTATATAATGTATATTATATATACACACTATATGGATATATACACACAATATATGGATATGTATACACACACACACTGTATATATATATGGATATATATAGTAACTGCCTTCCAGGAAAGACTGAATCACTGAGAAAAACCATCCTCACAATCTATAACTTTAAATAGATTCCATTAATGTCTCCGTCTTTGTTTATTCTTAATTGTGCTACTAGTCTCATTAAGTTTCTCTTACTGAAAGGTAGATACTGATCTCATCCACTATCTTGATTCAGCTTGTACCAAAGAAATCTGTGTAAATGAGCATCAAGTAGATGAGTTCTGATTTGCTATCCTTAGTATCAAACTACCCTAAGTAAACTAGAACAGATTTTTTTTCTGCCTTGTTTCAACCAAGACCTTTTGCATAAGTAGAAAAAATATGAATTTTAACATGCAACTGCATGTTTTATGCACTCATTCAACAATTATGTATTGAGCACCTTCTTCGTGTCAAGCAGTACATTAGTCACTGGGATGGACAGAAGTGAAAACAAATGCCTTCATGGAGTTTGCATTATAGTAGGTGTAAACAATAAACAAGTATGTTCAGTAGTGAGAATTGTTAAGGACAAAAAATAAAGTAGGAGAAGAGGATGGGAAATACTGAGAAGCAAGGTAATCTGCTTTATTAAATCAGGTAGCCAGGGAAGTCTTCACTAAGAAAGTAACATCTGAATAAAAACTTTAAGCAGGTTGGAGAGGGGAGAGTGTGTGTATGTCTGAGTAAAGTGTTTTTAGAAAGAGGATCAGCCAGTATAAAGGCCCTGAGGTAGAAGCATGCCTACATGTTCCGAGAATATGAAAGAGGCCAGTATGGCTTCAGAAATAAGGAATAATACCAGAAGTGCAACAAGGTCAAGAAGTAAAAGGTCTGAAAGTAGAGAGATGAATCATGTGGGGTCTAGCAATGCAAAGTGTAGTCCTGTGGACTAGCAGTGTCTGAATCACGTGAGAGCTTCCTAAAAATATAGACTCTCATGCCCCATCCCAGCCTTTCTACATGTGAATCTCATTTTAACAATATCCATAGGTGGTTCATATGCATGTTAAAGTTGAGTTGTGCTAATGCAGGACTGTCTAGAACATTCTAAGGTGACTTTTTCTCTGTGTGGGATATGAAACCTCAGGATGGTTTTGAACTGAAGAGCAACATGATAACATATTTTGGCAAATCGTATGACTATTGTACTGAGACAAATGGAAGATGGCAATATGGAAGCTGGAAGCCAGTTAGGAGGCCATGATGGTGACTCAGCAACATTCTGAAATTACATCATGAGAAGTTCATTTCTCTTAAAACCCAAATACATCTTAAAAGACTGTGACTTTGAGCAGTTATTGGCATTAGCACATTAGTGGAATTTAGTCTATTAGATTATTTTAGAAGGGCCTAGGACATAAACAGATATAGCTTCTGAGAGTAGATGTAGAAACTTCCGGGTGGCAGGTAAGGATCTGACCAGAGATTAAGGATCATATGGAGTACTAAAATAGGGAAGTCTCTGATTATTATGAGGGTGATATTCACTTTCCTTTAATCTATTATAACTCCTGGGGAAAAAAACAAATCGTTCTAGAATCTCAGCATAGAAGACCACTAGAGAAGTGAATAAAACCAGGATTGGTAGGATAGGATTTGTAAGTGAATAATACTTCAGACTATGAAATTCTAAGGGGATATGTATGCTCATATGGATAACATAGTAACAGGGAAGTCAGTAGTGGTGCCAGCACCAGCAGTATTCAGTCATAAAGATAGCATTAATGTATAAGGCTGTCTGTCTGTAGAAGTCTGAGAGCAATATGGGAAAAAGGGTGCTATTACTGGGGGGAACTCACAAGCTCCAAAGTGGGCATCAGGGCTGCAGCCAAGCCACTGGACTTCAGGGCCTAGCTCTAATCCCAGCTGGAGAAGTGATGTATTAAAATGGAAGCCAAGACAAAAGATTGGTCATATCAATATGAGCCAATGTCATGGGTTTTAGAAGACTGAGGCAGGAAAACAAATTCCAGACCCTATGAACTAGTGAGTAAGCCTACCCCAGTTTTATTCAGCTCTGGCTGAAAAACTAAGTGGACTTGAACCTGCTATTTTACATATTCATTCAACACATATTCAGTGAATACCTATTGTTTCCAAGGCTCTGTTCTAGGCATTGGAGGGTATAATAGAACAGGTAAAGTTCCTGCCTAAATGGAGATTATATTGTAGTGAAGAGGAGATAACAGACAAGCATAAATGTGGGCTCTAAAGAAAAATTGGAAAGGTAAGAATGAAAAAAAAAAGCAGAGCATGAAGAGGATGTTGCCATCCCATATTTGGTGGTTGGGAAATACTTCTCTGAGAAACTGACATTTGAATGGAGACCTGAAAGAGGACAGGGGGTGAACCATGCAT